ACTTAAGTAAAAATCATAAAATTGCTCACAAAATTTGGGAAAATAAAAGTATGTTTACTCTCACTCTAAAAAAAGAAAAGTTGAATTTATTAATCAAGTCATGTCAGCTGGTTCCACTAAACCGAGTTGAGTAAATATAAATGTACTTAAATCGATTTCGTGGAACCAGCTGATATAACTCAGTCAAGTAAAATGAACACTTCTTTTTTGCATAAGTGCATAAACAACTTTTTCAGGATTAATTTAGTCATATTTAAGTTTGTAACATGAAACAAAGTGTTAAATTTTAAAGTAAAGAAGTAAAAGTTACAATAAAAAATGCGATTATTGAACGTGAACTACAAAAGACCTTTAAATTCCAATTTTAGATCTTAAACACTACTGTAAATGTGCGCTCAATACACAATGTACACTTTATAAATTAAATGTAATTCAATAAAAACGCAGTGAAATGTATGGATAGTTAAGTACTGTAAAAAAATCTGCAAAAGACTGAGTCCTTAAATGTGAAATGAGATTTTGGGGGGGTTCACTGTACACTAATGCAGATTTTAAAAAGAACGTTTCTGAAGAAACTGAAGTGATTGCAATATTTCCTAGAGGAATAGATTTTTTTCCCAAAAGTCAAAGTTTGTAAACCAGACAGTCATAGCACATTTCACATTTAGCTAATCCTAATCTGTCGATAAACTTCACAGTGCTCATTAAAGCTCAAAGGTCAGAGGTCCGTGGAAAGGTTGGTAGCTCGGTGGAACTGGACTGCGAGTTTCTTCCATCAGAACCAGACTCTGGATCGTCGTCGTCCCCACATGTGGTCGAGTGGATCCGACAAGGACTCGATGTTCCTGTTCTGATGAAGTTTGGGTCTCATGCGCCTCGGGTCCATCCGAATTATGAAGGTGAGTATCTGTMCCCAGTGTGGTCAGCTACCGAATGTGCATTTCTGGTTTTAAACTCAGATCTTATGAAGCGGGATTCTGAGGAAACGGCAAGTCTTCTGTTTTATAGTGATGCTGGCAGGGGCGGAGCCAGAGGGGTGGCCAAGGTGGCAAGTGCCACCTCTGATTGGCCACCCCAGGTGCCACCCTGAAACAATTTACAAGTGGGTTAGGATCTTGGATTTGTTTTTGCATTTAGATTTTGTTTAAGCTTGTTTTCTACTGTACAATACATTTTTTCTTTAGCTGCTTATGTTTAAAAATGGCTTATATGGTTTATATCCATGGCTTATATCCGGTTGGCTTATATCCCTTTGTAAAATTAACATTAGTGGTTAGCTTAATTTGTGATTAGCATCAGCAATTGCATGTGATCATACTTGGCTACACCACAACAAATTTAATCTCTAAGTCTTTGGGTAAATTATAGCATTATAAGGCTAACTGTGGTGACCAGCTTGAATTTTTGATGATTTCCCTTTTTTAGACGACTTATGCCAACTTCTGAAAAATTGAAAGTCATCTGTGTTAAAGACTGAATTAAAAAAAAAATCAACTGGAAGCCTCATTTAGGCTTGTACACACTGTAATGCTTTAAACAAATTGATCAAATATATAACATTTATTAGTAATTTAGACATAGAAAATGAACATGTTGGCATAAATCATCTAAAATGTTATAGTGTAACAGGGTCGTTAGCATTTCGAATATCGATTGTTTTAGGCTACTTCTATACTAATCTTCAGCTTTGCAAGTCTAAAAATGGCTAAATAATAAATCATGTCTAGCATTTAGCAGGCTTTTCTGATCATTCTTGGCTATGATCACACAAATTTGAGCTCTATTTCTTTAAAAAAGCTGAATTAAAACCATACGGTGTTTGCTTTTGTGGCCATCTTGAATGTTTTTCAACGTGCACCTTGGCCACCCTTCTGTCACCCCTTACAAAAAAAATCTAGCTCCGCCCCTGGATGTTAGCGCTGTTAATGGTTTTATGCAAAATTCGCTGGACTAACCCACAAAAACTGCTTGTTGTCATGAGGATAATGATGATTTTTTTGCTCTAAACCTGAAGTTTGGAACGTAATTATTGACGTCTCAGTGTGTGAAAAGTGTGCTTCAGTAACGAGGAGTGAAGTGAACCCTTCTTTTTTTAATCCTGTCAAAGAGAGAAAGATTTAAGGCTGAGGATAGACGTGCTGTTAGCTTTAGTCACTATATATATATATA